TTCAATCGTAGCTCAAAAGGTCTTGTATTATTTGTTCCTGTAATCCGAAAGGGTCGAGCTACTTATTTTGTACATATGAACTACAGAACTTTTATACCAATGAAATGTTTACGTCAGGTGATAGGTTACGATCACTGTACGACCCAAAAAAAGATAATTTTTTAATTTTTTGTCGTTTTACTACAAAAAAATAGCTCGCCCCATTACATTTTATGTTTATTTCAATCCTGTAAAAGCGACTTTAATTCCGTTCAGTATTTTTGAAGTTATCATTCCAACTGCAAATGTCGGTATTCCGGCATCGCCTTAACATTAGAACCTCTGCCTTATTTTTGACCCATCTAATAGTTTTTCTTTTTCACTGTCGTCGACTATAGCTATACGTAGATTGAATTAGCATTAATAAAAGTGTATTTAGTTACCACTTTGTCTATTTATAAAAAAAGTCACAAAAGAATGTGGGTCATAAATAACCGGTCCCCGATTCTAGGGAAGGCTTAAATCGCCGCGGTTCTATAGTGTTAAAATTTTTATTATCTTTCCAAGCATAACATGAGCGAAATATCTTTTTAAGTTTATAAAAAAAAGTATGCATACATGCATGTGTATAAAGTCTTTATTAATTGATACAACCAATGTCTGTTTTAGGAAATAGGCAACTCATGCATTAACAACGGACGTTTAGCAATAACTCCGTTAGCATTAATTCTATGTGCCTCATCTTTTGAAGTAATTTCCGTGCAATCTTTGTGTGAGTCGTTTCTGAAGGCTTCTAATATAAAATCAGTTGCAGCATTTAATGGAAACTTGGATATAAAAATAGCGGTAAATTTATTTATCTATATTTTTATACGAAAATGTTCAGTGTCTCTAACTTTTCGGTATAATTGTCAATTTTAATCGACAGCCGCTAATCATTCACATATGGCCATATACCATATTTGATTTTAAAATAAAGCATGTCTGTTTAGCGTAGCTATCGATTTTTATTTTATATCTATCAACAAGATATTTTTATTACCGATAGTTTAAAAAAATATTTTTCATATCTGTATAATAATGATAAAACAAAGAAGAAAAATTCATTAAGAAAATGCATATGTAACAAAAATGACAAAAAACATAATATAGTATTGTCGAGAAATAATCTCGGTTTGGATGTAACATCACGTTTTGAAATTTTCACCAGACTTTTCTAAAATTGAATTTTACTCATTTGTTTTTCTATTAACAAAATAATTTATATTTCATAATTTTTAATTTCTTATTTAAATAAGTTTTACATATTTTTGTTAGTATTACCAATAAATAACAATTTTTATACAAATCAATATATTTATTAGACAAATTTTACAAAAAGTTATCTCTGCGTGATCATAATACTATCTCGCCTCGTCAACTATTACATAATACTAAGGCGATATGTTATATCGAAAAGAGTGAAGACGAAACCTAAGAAACTATTCATTTTTATTTCTTTCAGTCACGGATGTACACTGGTTGTCAAATCTTGGTGACCACGCCGCGATATCTGGTTCGATTCTTAAACAACCACAAAGGTCTATTGTCATTCGATAGACTTTCTTATTTGGTGTTTGACAATGCCGATGTAATTTTGGATAAGTATTACGATTCGGTCAGTGAAACTTGTAATATTCTGAATTACTTATTATACAGAGGAAAATTTCTAGAATTTAAAAAATGTCTCGACAGATAGCAGAACTCTTCTCGAAGCACAATATAATTAAGAACCGTGATCCAGAAGGGGACAATAGACCGATATTGCAGACAATTGTATCAGCAACAAACTGCACAGCTAAAATTAAGAAATTTGTACAAAGTACGATGTGTAATCTGTATATATGCATCGCGTCATTTATAGAAGCTGTCTTCTTTTTCAAGTCTATACGTCCGTTAATCTATATTTTCATGAGTACATATAAGAACACAAGAATATTAGGTAAGAAAATCTATAAATAAAACATGTATATTCGGCTGTATGTACCAAACATTTCACTCATTATACGTAAAATATTGTATTTCTAATGTTTCGAAAATGTTTCAATGTAACAGAACTACTGAAGGATGACTACCTTGCAATGAGAACAGCGATAGTATGTACAAACGCCGAGGAAGCTGAGCAATTGAACACCTTTTTAATTTTGACAAAGAAAACTTTGTTAATTCATGAAAATATGAAATCGCAAGAAATACAAGGTATAATGACATTTTTGATCGCATTAAGAGATGCTTTATCTCACACCTAATGCCTTATTTTGTTTGTTTGATTTAATTGATGGTGTTTTTAAAAATCTTTTTGTCAGTTTATTTATTTTTGTATTTTGCAGTTCTAAAAGATACTTGGTTATCATGTCTAGACGGCCGCTATCCAGTACTGATATGTACTGATCCAGTCTTGTCCGACCTTAATATTACTAATGTCCAATGGTTGATACATCATTCCATACTTAGCAAATCAAGAAATGAATTCAGTTATAGGTTTTCTCTAATTTTAGACAATTTAACACAGGTAATCATTAAAATGGACCCGAGATTGTTTTTTTTTTTATTTGATCTTATCGAGCTAATTATTATATTTAAATATTCTACTAATACTATTAAAAATTCAAGGATGCTAAATGTAAAATTACTATAATTATCGACGAAAATACCATTGGTATACAATTACAAAGTATTATGAAAATACTGCAGCGAATGAACATTTCAATACAGCCAGAAATGTTAAAGAACATTCAGGTAAGCTGAAGCAAGGACATTACTCCTCAAAATATCACGGTTTTCACTTACATATGAAATATGATTTCAGCAAATGGCTATTAATTTAGAGAAGGAGAAAAAAGAATATGTTCTATGTGATAACATAAAGTCATTTGGCTCCTGCCAGACACAAAATATCTGTAAGTTCAGACATTGCGTCCTTCCCGAAATCGATGCGCCAATGACAAATATACAGATGTAAGTAATTTTCTATATATTAGCTCATCTGTATATTATTATTCGATGTTCTATAAGTTCTTATTCTCGCACAGAAATGACAGGCTGAAGTTGAGGATACTTTACATTCACGATACAACGCATTTTTCTGCGAGAATTCTCGAGCATATTCCGCATCCCAACAATTCAGAAAAAATAACGTTCTCGAACGTTGAGTATATGCAAACTGCGGCCCAAATACAAAGCTATTACGGACGTGTCGAAAACAGGTGTGCACTGATGCGATTTAACGATTTTCTTAGTTATTATTACTTGTCCCTGCATTCCCTGAATTTCTACAGTATTTTTTCTTAATAAACAATTATAGGAAAATGAGTACCTCGACAAATATAGGCGATATCTGCGTGTTCGAGGAATCTATCGACACATTTAAACGAGTACAAATCATACGAGAGAGGAACGTGGATGAAGATGTAAAAACCGTAGATTTGAGGTTTATCGACAGTGGTATTATATACGAAAACATTAATGTAAGATTTATATTGTATTCAAATTCTATATTAGACATTTTCTTTCGACAATATGAATATTTCTCAAAAAATAATCACGTTTTTATGTCAGATATGAGACTTAATTATGTGGATTTATGGAAGCACGTAATTTATCTTCTTGTTAGAAAAATATTATTTGGCATTTTAGGTACGTAAACTATTGCATGTCCCAGAGGAAATATTAAATCTTCCAACGCATGTTGTCGAAATATTTTTAACTGGTTTAATGCCAGCGGACGAGGAATATAAGTGGAATTATTATACTACCGAACAGGCGCACAAGTGGTTCACAGAAAATTTTGACGAAAGATCATACATTATCGGAGAAGTAAGAGTCTGTGAGGTTGTGAGGAGGTGGGGGGGCATAAGAGGCAGGAAATAAAATACATGAATTATTTGCAGGTTCGTCTTCATCTTGGAAATACAATATGGTTGGAAGATTTGAAGATTGGAACAAAATTAATTGGTCATCCCGATCTGATAGGATCTCCCTTGAAAAAGAACTTACTCGATGAAAATTTTGCAGTTGAGAACAACGATCACTTATCGAATCTGTTTGAACTTTGCAGAAACAGCAAGTTGACAGAAATCAACGGCCATGATATAAGGGTCACAGACAAATAAAAGTCTTTTATTTGTATTTTTAGAAGATTGGGTGATTTTGCGAAATGTCATTTTGTTAATATACATTTATAAGAAAAGATTTTGAGATAATATCATTCGGCTTTGTTTTGTATTTTGTAGTAATGGATTAGAGTAAGGCACTATAGATGTAGATATTCCTATCCGCCATCTTGGTTCCAGCTAAGTGGGTAATGTAACCCCAAGTTTGCTCAATAATAAAGTTAGAAATTAATAATTATTACATTTTTTTATTTTGTTATTGCAATTTACTGCAACGCAGCAGAGTATCTTGATTGTCATGTACATTTACTTTGTCAGACGTACTATAAACTCATCA